GGGACCTCGCTGCGCCTCGCACCCACGGCGGCGGGCGGCCCTGAGGAGAGCAGGCCCAGACGGGACGCCTGTGCGGGGCTTCTCTTTCTCCTTCGGTTTGGTTTCCCGGGGAGTGCGGATCCGCGCTGGCCACCGCCGTGCCAGCAGGCAGCGGTGCCGCGAGTCAGCCCGATGCGGACGTTGATTGAACTGGATGATTTTAATCGTAGGGTAGAGAGGCCGGTAGCCATAATCACTTCACTGACCTGACGATAAAGTATATAAAAGCCTGATTTGCTGTGAGCGTTGGGCTAGCGACAAAATTACCCACGCTAAATCTGCTTTGCGTGGATGTCAGCAAGCGGAGTTAGGTTGTGAGGTTGATAGGGCATTATACGTTAGCAGACGGCTTCATTGTGTGTGCTGAGTGGGGTAAAGCTGTGCCAAACCCAAACTGCATCGATGAACGTCATGTGGCAATGAAGTTACGTGGTTCATTTTGATACTAGTACGAACTGGTAGGAAGTGACTTTGCTTTTCCCCAGTCATCCTAAATTAATAAGTATATTGCCGCTTGTAACCTGTGGAAACATATATCAAGTTTTTCAACCTTTTTTCCTAACTGCTGCGCTAGTGCTGCTGACTGCTATCTCAGTGAAGTGCTTGATTCCTCAGACTGCTGATCTTCCGAAACTGCTTGCCAAAGCAGAATTAATATGGACAACTCACACAGTTCAAGAGGAACATGTGTTCACAACACTCTGTGAAATGAAGTTTTCAGAGTCAATAACTGTCAGCTCCAGAGAGGGTTAAATGTTCTGCTATTACAAATTGGAATAATTTATTTAAAATCACTGGCTCCACAAACATTTATGTCTGGTGAGTATATCTTCTGAACTCCTGCTGACAAGCACTGGGAAAAGACTGCGTTTGCAGTCAAGCTTTGTCAGGCTGCAATCCTGTTATGTATCATGAACAGGATGGTTGGTACTTTGCCAGGATAGCTCCCAGGAGAACTTCAATTGCTGCAGGAATCAGCGTTCATATTTGCTCCCCTGTAGTCTTCCATGTGAGTCAGGGTTCGTACTATACCTTAAGAAAAATTAGAAAAACTAACTGTTCTCTAGATGGCTCCTGATCATTGTGTAACCCCCATGCATTTCATAAGAGTATAGGTGTTACCATTCAGAGAAACTGTAAGTGAAACTGTCAAAGAAAATTGTATGATGTGCAAGAGAAGGGGTTGCATTTTTCTTCAGAGACGGAAATATGAAGATGATAGTAATGAACTTCCACAAACAGCTGTCGTCTTTGAATTTATTTGCCAGAATTTTCTAATATCACTTACAATAATGTGTGCACCTAAGAACAGGAATATGTGGGTTTTTTCTGTATTTTACATATGCTTCTTGTTTGGCCATAAAATATTAATCTTGTATTTGAAGCTTTCCAGTAATATTTTTCAAGTTTACATTTAAAATTATGAAGGTAGGAGCCAGATATTTCACATTTGTAATTAATTTAGCCAATCGATTTTTGGTAATTGATCTTCAACACTGAAGTGTATTTCTTGGTCCTGAACCTACATATATCTGCTGAAGGTCATGTTATTTTTTTTTACGTTAGTCTTTCATTTTAGAACACAGTAACTACGATAGCTAATTTTTGCAGCACTGACACCCCCCTTTTTCTTTGTAAATGATAGCTATCGTTTTCAAATAGCTGTATCTGGGGCAGTTTAGCAGTGACACAAACACTAACAGAATGCTAACTCTATACAAATACATTTGTGATTTTTTTAGCAGTCATTGATCTCACAAGTAATAGCAGTTTGAATAATCTGATATGTTTTTCATCAGCTGGAAGGCTCATGAGGTGTATGGTGGGAGGACAGGTTTGAGAAAGCATGCTGTTCGTAGATGTTTACAAGTGAGTGTTTTCTTCTAGCCTCAGCTTCCTGGTGGCAGTATCTTTTGGTATAGTGAACCCTAATTTTATAATGGTCTCTGAGAATGTGGAGAAGTTATACTGTGAGGGTGGACCCTTTCTGTATTTAGGACCAGAAAAACAGCTTGTAGGGGATTTTATGCGCCCATCCTATGCGTTAGGTCTAGGATGACCACAGCTTGGTTAAGATGTGAACACCAGCTTTAACAGTGCTTGTGTACCCATATAAACAGTATTAGTGTATTACTGAGAAGTTATTTTGAGACATGTAAAGGAATGATGAAGATAAATGAGGTCTCTGCTGCAAATGGGCAGGAATCCAGACTAAACACAAGAAGATATAATTTGATTTAGAAGAGCCTCTACTTTTGTATTTTGGAGAACATTAGACTTCTGTGCTGCCTGAATCAGAAGAAGGGTAGATAGCAAAGGCAAGTGGGCCCTCGCCTTGCTTTGTCACCTCCTTGTGCTGCTGGAGAACAGTGATTTGCTCTGGAGCATGAGCCCAAGATCTATGCTGGAGAGGGTAGTTCCCTCCTCAAGTAACTGCCACTACTGTGCTGTCCTCTCTAGTAGTATGAGAGACTGGGAAAAGGCAGCTGGCCTACCTTTCTCCATTAAGGCTCCATTTTAATTTTCTTTTTTTCTCATATTTCAGGAAAATTAAAGTCCATCTTACAGACTTACTGGAATTGAAATAATCAGGAAGATCTCATCCCATAATATAATGATACAACTCTTCTCGTATCATTTGATAGCCTGTGCTTTTCCCTTAGAAAATTTGCTGCATTGCTAATATAGGTTTCTCTCTGTCCTTCTCCCCCCTTTCCTGTTCCTGCTAGATGGACTTATTTTTTTTCTGTTTTGTCAAAATAAGGTGATGGTGAATGATGGGTCCTTTCTGAGATGAGAACACTTTTGCAATCTGGTAACCTTTGGCACAAAACACATACACTAGTGAATGGTCCAGCACTTAAGAGTGATTCACTACTAAGCATTATAGAAAATAGGTTTACCAGTTGAAAAATTTCAAGGCAAGTTCTCCTTCCTCGGTGTGTTCTGTGTACGGTACTCTCATTTTTTTTCTATTATGTGGTTAAGAAGAGAGGAGATAATGGGAGCTTCTTAAGGGATCCTGTAATGCACCAAAACCTTCACTAGTTCTAATGGTTTTAAGACAGAGTATGAAAACTGCCAAGAGATCAACCAAAAAGAACTATTTTAAAATATGTTGTATGCCAGGCTATATTCTACCCTCAGTTTGTGCGCCTATCTCCCATTAACCTTTATGGAAGTTTTCTGTATTTATCAAAGGAAGAATATGTTTGAATGTTTGTTAAGATGATAACAGAGTTCCTTTTGTATGCATTATGTTAGCATTATTAGCCAAAAAGATAATAGAATAAATTAGGAGAGAGAAAGTGTTCACTTTTTTCAGGGGCTTTTTTTAAACTTTTAATTATGAACTCAATTATTTTTCTATATGTAAGCAAAAGGGGTATCTTTATATAATCTTAAAGTATTTTTTAGGCTAGAATTAATATGAACAAAGGCGCACTAAAATACTAAGTTTTACTAAAAATGAATACACTTTTCATCCAGTGACATCAAATTATCTCATTCTAGAAATGTTAAATAATTACCTATATCAAGTACTTCACAATTATTTACAAATGAAGTAAGAGAGTTAAAAAGACTAAGTGACAAGACCACAGGGATTAGAATTTAGGATTCCTAGGTTCCAGCCTTCTATTCTTACCACAAAGTAGTATTTATTCTTCTGAAACTGTTAACTGTTACAGTTAACTTCTCATGTTTTCACATTCTTTTGAGAATTAGTTGAGTCACTGACTCACAGCATCAGTCAGTTCTATTCAGTAAAGACTGGTGCCATGGAGTCATTTTACTGCTAAGAGCAATGTAAGTAAAGATAGAGTTTGTTCCTTTTTTGAGTCTTTAATGAGGAACTTGCTAATGTGTTGGAAGAAGGTCTGAAAAATTACATGGAATTAAACTATAGAGAAAACACATAAACAGCAATTTTTAATATAAAATTTTTCTCAGAATATCTCCTACCTTTTAACTTAAATAAATCTGTACTTTTAACGTAAGTTGCAAGGCAGTAGATAGTTGGAAATGTATTTATTACTAGCAGAACCCAAGCTCCTAGGCCGTGTTTATAAAACACCTGAGCAGAAGGGAGATGGCACAGTAAATCTCCTGTAACAGTTACTGCAGCCATCTGGTTTACAGTAAGCACCCCACTGGAACATATCACAAGTGGCAGAGCAAATGCAGTGAGAAGGTACAAGATAACAGGGATGTGTTCCACGTCCCAAACAAATCTATAGAGACTTGGTCCAAACTGGAAGTAGCCCTTCTCTGGCTGAATATTTACCAGAGTATGGTAGAGCTTCATCCTTCTTGTTCACAGAGGTAACGTGCTAACAGTGGTGTTTAAGCCTTATATAATTCGGAATGTTTGTAAGGGGATTTCCTGTGGATCTTGCAACAGTTTTTATGCAAGAAAACGTCTATTTTGAAAATCTGGTTGGCTGTCAATGAAGACTGTTACAGCTAAACTGTATTTGAATTTGATTCAGAATTTTATTGCATTTCAAAAATGTTAAAATAGGTCACTGAGAATCTGCAAAATTTGTGTGCATGCATTTCTATGAAAAAATAATAGAAAAAAGTTTTAAATTCAAACCACATATAATGTCAGTAAACATGATTTGGATAGCTAAACCCATCTACTTTCTAGTTTAGGGCTAATGTTAGTTTAATTTTATATATTCCAAACAAACAGGATTTCCTTTGTTTTATTTATAGATTGGTTTTCTAGACAAACACATCATATTGTCTTAACCTGTTTGTAGTTTGTTGGTTTTTTTTAAATCAGGATAAATTTGATTTTTCTACTTTGCTTGAACAAAATTTGACCACATTAATATCCTGTTCCTTAATCTATTTGACAATTGTTTCGGATTATGTTTTCTTGTGAAATAGTCTGATCTGTGCAAGTAGTTTGTTTTAAAAAAAAAATAAATTTGAACAAAAGTCATCTGTTTAGGTTTCAATGGCACATCATTCAATGCCCTTGATTACATTAGTGGATCTGTATTAAGACAGAAGAAGAGAAAAAAATGCAAAAGACCTTCTGTAAAAGCCTGTAAAGGCTTGTAAATGGAATATATATGTATGAACTTGTATAGACTTAAGTAAGTGTACATCTTTCCCATGACACATGATTTTAAGACTCAAGAAAACCATAAGACAATGAAATGCACACATTATATAACGTTAGGAAATTTAACCAACTGCTGATTTCAGTTTTTTAAAGGCTGAGAGAAGTATACAATTTCCTGCAAATAAGGTATATTTTGCTGGTTTGTATGTGTATAAGTGGATACTCTACCGCTGGCAAATTTTTATCCAATAAATGCTTTTAACCATAGGCGTCATCACCACAGGTCTTGATAGCTCTCTGTTCAGTTTTCTGTGGAGTCAAATCTGTCATTTCTGTCAGAAAAAGCTTTATAAGATATAAACCTGTTTGTCTCAGAGAAAGCAGTTTGTGCTTTTGTTTTGTTAAATTCGCTACTGGAAGCTCTTCTATCTGGATATTTTTAACAGGAGATTAAACAGCTATTATATGTTAAAGGACACCGATTCTACTAAAGCAGGTTGGACTAGATCGCTGGACGTCCTTTCCAAGTCTGTGTTCCTATGGTGCTGTGAGTGCAGGAAGAAAAAAAACCCCTGATTTAATTCTTCTCATGCAACACTTTCTTGTGAAACAGCAATCTGGAATCTTATGCAGCTTTAGTAGTTTACAATCAAACTTTGCTTCTCTGCAAAAAATAAACAATTTGAAAAAATTCAATTCTTCAACTACGTCATACTTGCAGAAAAATATGTTAATAAAATTTAAATTTCATTTCATTATAATAAAATATTAAATATATGTTTTTAGCTGGCAAAGTCAATTTATTTTACAGGAAATAGAATATGTTCAGATATTCTTGAAAAAAAATCTACATGTATGATTTGGCAGTTTTTGTTCTGCATTACAGAACAAAAGCAGTCTAACCTGTTAAATATACATATTATTTATGTATGTATATGTATTTCTACATATACAAAGCAGTCTAACCTGTTAAATCTAATTTTTTATAGCGATATGACAAAAATGAAACCACATTATTTTTGTTAGTATTGTGTATGCTGGAAATGCTAGCAAACTCCAACACATATTTACAGATACGTGTGTAGGAGCAAAATGTACTTATAGCTGTTTTTAAAGTCAGTGGAAGTATGTGATATTTAACCAATACTCTCATTAATCAGGAAAATTATTTTTCATTTCACTATAGTTATAAAGTATTATATCTTTTCTTGCTGTTCATTACCCTAAAGTTGGCTGCAGTTCAGGATTGAGGAAAAAATCCGTTATAGATGCTTGCTTAATTCATTGTATATGAATATATATACATATGTGTGTGTGTATCTGTCCACAGATGGTTACTGACCAACTGTTGAGATATATTTACAAGAGTCATTTAGAGTTCAAGATGAAGTAAAAAATACAGATCCATTAGATTTTATAATTTTATGTTTATCATTTTTATGTTTACTGATAAATCAAGCATTTTGTAGAATTTCTTTCTCTGAGAGAAAGGAGCTTGTAGCTAGTACGTAGAACAATTCATCTTAAAACGGACGATTTTCCCAGCTCTTGCCCTTGCTCTGGAGTTGTGGGGGCAAGTGACTTAAGTCATGACTTTTTCACCTTGATATCAAAGGAGGAAAAGTGGTGTTTTGCCACCAGTAGTTTTTGCCACTGGTTCCTAGGTTACAGACCTGTCTTTATTTTTTCTTAGTCTCAGTTTCTTAATATGTTAAATTAACCCTATTTATTTCAATAACAATATTTCTTACAGCTAAAGCTATGTGAATTGATATTTGAAAGGAAGCTTTTTGCATGGAAGATACCATATATAATTTTGAGTGTTATTAAAATCCTACCTGCATAACATAGATCATAACTTCTTTACTAACAAAGAAATCGACAGCTGAATCATACCTGCATGATTTCTGAGCTTTTCCTCCTGCCATGTTTCATAAGCTGACAGAGTTACCCTCATGACACAGGTATAAAGTAAGGATGACAAATATTATCCAGAGTTTTACAGGAGTTAACTCAAAATCAGTCACAGATATTCAAGTGACAGTTAAAAATTGCCCTTCCAACTCCTAGTTCCATGATCAACTCAGAAGAACATACTATTTTTCTTAAATATAAAATAATATTTAGAAGTAAACACTTTAAATGACTGCAAATTCTAAATTTATGAAGTTAAAAGATGACGTCTGTAGGGTGGAAATTTCTATGGGCCCTTGTTTCAACTCCTGAAATGTACTAAAGCAAATTTCATATATATCTCCATTGAGAAGGCAAATTACTTTTCATAGAAAAGGATCAAAAGCATCAGAGTGGATATGGTATGTTAATAATAGGAGGTGGGACAGTGAGGGTAGAAGAACTGATGGGACACTTACGGTTCAAGGAATTCAGCACTTTTCATTTATGCTGGAAAAAATGTAAATGTCACCCTTGCCTCCTAGTGCAAAGTTATCAGACAGACATCACTAAATGATATCGCTGACGTTAAAATGACTGGAATGTTATTTCCTTCTATTTCTTTTCTTTTGGAAATCTTACAATATCTTATTGCAAATGAAACAAAAATCCACATATAATGGTGTAAGAAACAAAGATCTGTCTGTAGTCTCAACACTGGATTATTGCTGTTCTATCTCAAAGCTAATTGAAATCCATGATGTTTGCATCAAAGGTGTAATGAGGCACTGACAAATACCTTTCTGCCCCACTGGAAACATAATCTTTCTGTTGAACATTTTGTCTTGGTAAGTTCTGTCTGCAGTAGGAATAGGCATTTTGCATTTGAATCAAGAAGGTCATTACTTTGGATCAGATGATATGGTGTACACTCCACTTGCCTTTAGATGAAATTGATCCTTTACTGTGTTGAACATAAGACTGTGAATTTTTTACACCTAATTATCTTATTGTTTCATCTGGATGAATTTGGAATGCTAACACTACCGCCACTTTTTGATCTTTGCATATATCGGTGTGACAGTTCTCTTAAAAGCCAGTTATTCCCTAGACAGTAATACATTTTAAATATTCAGTTGCATTTCTTTACTAAATAAAACAGAATAAGATCACAGTGTTTCATTTATTGATAATGTATTTGATCGTTTGATAGAACTGAATATTTGATAACATTTGCCTCATTTTTGCAGCAGTAAAGCAATAGTTCTATGTATAATTACTCAAACTTGTTTGAGTAAACTTATTTACTTCTAAATACCTAGAAACTAAACTATGTATTCAACATTTTGGTTGATTTACTCGTAAATAATCCCATTGACTTCAGTGAAGAGAGGCACCATAAAACTGAGTGACAGTTGCAGTGTGTTCACTCATCTTCGATGTTAAAACTTTCATTACCTTTCTTTGCAAATGTGGCTTTTTTTTTTTTTTTATAATGTAAGGAAATTATGCCAAGTGTATGTACAAAATCAGTATTTTTTTCCTTTTTTGTTTTGACATGAATATATGCTCTTAGCATTTTCACTTCGCATCGTGTGTAGATTATTTGTGAAAAAAAATGGTAAAAGATCTCTAGCTATGGAAGGGATAATGTGAAAGTCATAAGTAGCGGCTACTCTCTGCAGGTATGAACCTGTTCTTATTTAAATCGATGGAAATTTCACTGCTGACTGCAGTGAATGCAGGATCAAGTCCTCAGCTCTTTCTGAAAATCAATTAGATGCGTTCTTAATAGGCTTTCATGCCTTTGAAAATCTGTCTCTAAATTACTGTTGGAAACTAATCAATTAGATATTGGAGTTCATTTTATGAAAAAAAAATCCACAATTTTGTGTAAAATGAAAGGAAATGCTTTAATTTACTGGCTTTTTATTTATTCAAAAAGATCAAGCTGTATCTGGGATTGTCAAATCACCTTGTTTTATTTGCTGAAACATGTAGGACTCAACACAATGCTGATGAGACTCTGTATTTGAATTGTTTCTGCACTGTGAAGAATAGTGGTGTACTAGGAAGCTGAGAGATGAGAAATTGCTATGTCAGGCATTGGACTGAAATACGTTTTAAATAGACTTTTTACATGATACTGTAGCAATTGAAAATTCTGATTCAGTGTCTGCTAAGAAAATGTTGGAAATGCTTTTAGAAGTTTCTTAACCGATACTAAATTTGTCAGTTCAGTAATAGTGGATAACCCAAAATATAATCATTAAGGAAGACTAAACAATTTTTACTGTGAAAACTGTGGCTTATTCTGATTTGGATTTATTTTGAATCCATTGTTCACAGGAGATTCAGTGATGGCTGAAGAGTACATGACACAAGCTGGCAAGTGGTACAGCATAAGGTTTGCATAAAGCTAATTTTTCCATTTCTCCCATCTTCATCTTCTGTCTTTCAGGCTCGATAATTTGTTTCCTTAAACTGCATTATTGTTAAATGTTATATTGACCATGAGATCATACAATGTCATGATAAATATTATGCTACACTGTGCTGTATTTACCTAGAGAACGGCATATTCTTTTGAAATCTTAGCTAATTATATAGTTTGTATAGATTTAAAATTACAATATTAACATCTATTTTATGTGATTAAGATACATTTTAATTGAGATATTATAATACAATATATTTATGATTATATACATTACAATTATGCAATGTAGGTAATATATCAATACATGCATATAGTACGTATATTAACTTATGCATCATAAAGATATTGATGTTGTTATTAATTTTATTTAATAAATTCAGATAGTGAGTCAAGTCAAAAGATGCTCTAAATACCTTACAACTTTAACAGAACCAGACAGGAGACAAACTTCAGGAGGAATTTCAAAACAAAAAATTTTTGAAAGTGGTTTTTAAGGAGTTATTATATATTACTTATTTATAATTAGGAGGGGAAAAAATAACAAATTTGAATGGAGATAAGGAACTATTGTAATTGGTAAATATTTAATAAAAACAACTGTATCTGTATATATTTGAAAGCCTGATCCTCAAAAACTACTGAATGCATTCTCTTCAAACTAAACATGGTAAAAATGTGATTGTTAGTCTGAGAACAAGCATGAGAAGTATTGGCCTAGAGGTAATTGTTTTGAAAAGTTATTTTAAGCTAATGAAAAGAAGGTCGTAGAATTAAAGTGCCATTTCAACCATATAAGTGTAATAAAATCAGCTAAGGCAGGAGTGCATTCTGGCAAGAATAAATGAGCATTGCAAAGCCTGATATGGCCAGTATGGAATACAGAAATGTATCCAAGTGAGTAAACATCAAATAAAGGATTATCCCTACTTGTGAAGAATCCATTCCAGCAAGAAATTGAACCATGGACTACTGCATCTGAAATGCGTAGGACTCCCTAGAGAGCTAAAAGGGAATCTGTAGATTCTGTCATCAGTACACCAAAGATCTCTGCACCGTACTGTAGTGCACAAAAGTACATGTTTCCCAGATTTCCCTTTTTAAAGGACTTCTTTCAGAATACTAATCAGATCTTGGTGTTCTGAGTTTTTACAAGTACAGCTAGGTTCTCTTTGCTGTTGCTTTGCATTTGAATGCAAGAAAGAAGTTCTGATTTTCTAAATGTTCTAAAATAATAACAAAAATATTGTGATATTCTGAAATGGCTTGAAAGGCAAATAGAAGGTTCTAAAATGCTACCAAATGTGCAAGCCTACAATAGTAACAGTAACAACAGTAAAAGAGAGGATAAGCATTTAAGGAGAAATACGTTATTCCATATTGAGCTTGAAATGGAAAGAGACTATCCAAAGCAAATAACAAAAAGACAGCCAGATCTGTGAAACTAGGTGTCAGGAGACTGGGGAAGTGTGGAGGAAGAATTTCTGAGGCCACAGAGTAAAGGTGTTAGCTATAAATCAGAACTGATTTTGTACTAAAGGACCTGCCAAAATGATGGTGCTAGAATATATTGATGCAGGAACGTCCCACATGTATTGCATATAGAATCATAGAATAGAATCATTAAAGGTTGGAAGAGACCTCCAAGATCATCGAGTCCAACCATCAACCCAACAACACCATGCCCACTAAACCATGTCCCTAAGCGCCTCATCTACCCGCCTTTTAAATACTTCCAGGGATGGTGACTCAACCACTTCCCTGGGCAGCCTGGTCCAATGTTTAACTACTCTTTCAGTAAAGAAATTTTTCCTTACATCCAATCTAAACCTCCCCTGG